AGGGCAACCATTTACTGCATACTGTTAGAAACTCAATTATCTGATAATGATCCTGATCAGCATGATCAATAATCAATACTCCAATTATTAAAGCATTAATCAAACTAAAACTATCAGACAACCTTTTCCGCCTGTAGCAGTTAGCTAGTGTTTCTGTAGTGGAGACTAAACGTTAACAATGATCCATATCAGCAGTTTGAATCCAACTAAAAGCTCCCTGCACCAAACTCCCTTTAAGAAATATCACATTTTAACAATTCCTAACGTGTTCGTAACAACACGTATCTCTGGAAACACGAGCAAAAGGCCGTCATATGTCCACAGTCTGACTGTCAATGTGGCATTAAAACTAATATCAGCAGTAAAACTATCAGATTTTCTCACCCCCAGTGCCACCAGTCGAAGCCTTCTGAGCTCATTTTTCTCAGGCGAACTTTGCGGTGCAGCAACCTGAGGCTGCGGGATCACATGGGTGACCACCAGCACGCCGCTGCCCATCGCCATTGCTACAGATGAAGATGCTGACATGTCAGAGATGAAGTGAGAGCAGCCGCTGTGATGTGCTGCTTCATAACTGAGCTCAGAGTTAATCATTGATCATTGAAATTAATCATTAAAAACAGAAATCTTCCTCCCCTGATGCACCAGGGGAGTTCCCTCTTCAGGTGTGCTGTGGACGGTCGCTGCAGGGCATTTGAGAAGGAAATTCTCCATAAAAATAAAGTTGACTTTGATCTTCATGCATCAGTTCCCTGCTTAACTTCAGGCATCTTTGTTTTATCTGACTGATCATTAACTGATTCTTAACTTTTTTTTATTGTATTTGGGGGGTTTTATTGCCTTTACTTGACACTGACAGCTGTAGATAAACAGGAAGCGGGGGAGAGGGGATGATACGCAGCAAAGGGCCACAGGTCAGATTTGAACCCTGGGCTGCTGCGGGTGAGCTATCTGGGCGGCCCGATCCTTAACTATTAACTTAAAATCAGCTTTACATCATATTTTAGTATAGTGACGACTCAGAACTCAGGACCACTGGACTGGAACTGAGACCAGCTGGTAAACAGGCTGCTGCTCCCTCTGAACCACCACAGTCCAAACAAAGGCTCCATCACTGCTGCACTGATCCACCTCCATCTGACCCTCATTGCTGAACCAGACCCGGAGATAATGGGGGCCTGAGGCAGTGCCCACCGACCTGAAGAGACCAGGACCTCGGACCGGGAGGTGCTGACTCTCATCCATTACTTGTAAATCTCTACATGGTCTCTCTGGATCACTTTGAAAATGGCCATGCCAGTTTTTCCATCGCCAAAACTAGTGTAACGTTGGAGCGTTATTTAGCCTCCCTTCCAACGTATTAGCATGACATGGTTGGCACCGACGAATATCTTAGGTCATCTAGTTTCAGTGATATCAGTCTGTTCACTGCTATGACCGGCATTGAGACCTTCAGGCCAAACATCTGTTCAGCAACCTCCACTGGCTCCCTTTCCAACAACATATCCTATATATATATTTTTTTTTTAAGTTATTTTTTTGGCCTTTTATTGCCTTTATTGATAGTGACAGCTGAAGATAGACAGGAAAGGGGGGCAGAGAGAGTGGGGATGACACGCAGCAAATGGCCACAGGTTAGATTCGAACTGGGCCCTCATTAAATTATGGATTTTTTTAATTTTATTTTTTAAAATAGCCCTATTTGTGGAAAGAAAAATTGTAATATTTGAGTTACATAACATCTTTTTATTTGTGTTCTTCCTAATTGTCCTTGAAATAGTGGTCAAGAACCCCCCCACCCCCAACACAAAAATGGTTTGGCCACTGATCGAAATTTGATGTTGTTGTTGATTTGAAGTTCAGTACGCTAAAAAAAAGTCCAATCAGCACAAGTCCGGTGCTCAGAAGAGGAAAGAAAAGAGATAGAGATTTTAAATATTTTAAAAAAGGTGGTGACGGTGAAGCTGGAACTGGTAAAGCCAACGTTTACCAGCCTTGTAACGTAACCTAACAGACCAGCTCTAATGTTAACGTCCATCAGCTTGTATAAAAGCCTGACACAACACGTTATCTCCGACAGAAATGGTTGAGTTTGGTAGCTCCGTCAGAGAGGATGAGACAGAGAGGAGAGAGATCCAGCTGCAGGCAGGTGACAGAGAGAGTGATACAGGAGGGCCCCGCTGCCCCGTAACAGAGGGACAGAGTCAGGCTACAGATGAGAGAGAGAGAGAGACAGTCACACTGGAGCGGGAGGGGCCCGCTGCCCCGTCGGAGAGTCTGAGCAGAATGGATCAGAGATCATACACTTAATTTCAGCAATCCTGTATTATGGCCAATTAGAATGATCGACTCTGATAGAGTGAACCTTGTACGTGTGATGGCGCCTTTCTCAGAGAGGGCAAAGGAATTGCCAGCAGATGCAGAGGGCAGGGAATTCCCAAACTGTCTGACATATTCCACATCCCACAATGGAAGGGAAAAAATGGGACTGGATAGTATATAACAGCTCAAAAAAGGCCTTATTTTGCCTACCATGCTTGCTGTTCTCCTTTGAAGTAGAGAAAAAGTCAACTAGTGCACTAAATTCCAGAAATTTAATTCAATTCAATTCAATTTTATTTGTATAGCGCCAATTCATAACAGAAGTTATCTCAGGACACTTTTCAAATAGAGCAGGTCTAGACCGAACTCTTTATAACATTATTTACAGAGACCCAACAGTACCACCATGAGCAAGACCTTGAAGACAAGGGCAAGGAAAAACTGCCTGTTAAAAGGCAGAAACCTAGGACAGATCCTTCGGCTCTAGGTGGGTGGTCGTCTGTCTCGACCAATTTTACAGAAAGCTTTATGAGAGATTTCCAGAACATGAAAGAAACCGTGCACACAAACATTGTTATTGGAAGGAGAGGAAGAGCAGAGGAAAAGGAGAGATCTGGGCGTGGGGGGGCCCATCTAAGATTATCTCGTCCCAGGCCCAGGCAAGACTGGCCTGCTGGTACCCCTTACTCTTACCCCTCACAACATACCATAGACCTTCTACTAGTCCACAGACCACATGTGGACTGGATGGACCAACTCGACTGACCTGTTCAATATCCCTGAAACAGCTCCAGGACCAGAAGAGAACCTGCAACGTTTCTTCTAGACATGCCGTTTGTGTGGGTATCAGGTAGTGCTGTAAAGATTCACTGATATGGGTCAGAAATCTGTTTTAAAGTTATAGATGCGACTACATCGGTACACGGACCCCTGGATGGATCTAAATGTACCACAAACCGGCCGATGGTCCGATTCTAAACTTATGAATCTGTTGACTGAAGTTTCTCCACTCTCCTGAAAGGTCAATAGGTCAATTGCAAAGGCAACAGAGTCAACAACTGAGCTCCAACTGGGCAAGGTCTAAGGTCATCACTGCAGGAAGTCTGCTGGAAAAGCAACAAACACAGTGACTGTAACTCTGAATCAAACATGATCAGACATTTGTCTTGTGTACCTTTGTACTTGTGATCCCTGGTATTTTATAAAATAAATGTTTTTGAAATTAAACAATGTCACTTTTATGTGTGTTCCACCATCTAGAGCCGCCATACGTCTGTTTCCTTATGATGCAGAAATTTCACCAGGCATGGCTTTATGGCGTCCCATCTGCGATGTCTTCAAATCCCACTGAGAGTGCTCAGAGTTCACTCTGTTTGAGTGGTTGACGTCAGAAATAAACGAGCCACGTGGCTCACAGCGGAACAACAGCTGCAACGAGCTGCGGCAGGCTTGGTGGAGCTTTAGTTCCTTCTGCAGTCCCCGAGGTCAACAGTTCTCCTGCTGTAGACAACCTAAATCCTAAACCTGAAAGGACTCCAGAGCCTACTTCATCGCTGACCAACGTTTTTAAGATTGCCACCATTACAGTCACCATTCAGTGACTTTGAACATGAAACACGTTTTTATTCCACAGTTGAATTACATTTCCTCATTTCGGTATCAAACTTTGTTAAACATTAAATCAGAAGGTTTCTGTTGACATCCAACTGTTCAGTTAGATGATCAATGAGCTGATCGGAGCTCAGTTTCATGAGTTAATGAGATTGAACTTCCTTCTACTGAAACAATTTCTCTCCAGCAAACACAGTGAATCAATGCAGTGAACCTTTCTGAATGATCTTCATCCATTAAAAATGGTGACATCTGCTGGTCAAACCTTATAATTACATCTTCCTTCAATCTGCCGATGATACTAACACTGTATCAGGAACAGGTTGTTATTCTAGCTTCTTATTCTGAAAAAGAGAGTATTCCTACTAATCTGTTTACATGTCGAATAAAAAAATTGACAAATTTGTACTGTACTAATGTTCTGAGATTGACAGTTACAACATGCTAATGGCACTGATGAATAATATCATATCAGATATCTTAATCTGAAAATGCATAAAACAGAAGATACTGTTTATCAATAAGGAACAATAATGTGAATACAGTCAGTGATATCTGAACACCTCGTTACAATGTGTAACTACACTGTGCTTAATGAGGCTCTGATTGGACCTAAAGTCATCAACCAGCACTTCCTGCAGACAGCAGGCCGACGTAATAACTTCATATTGTGTCTTTTTTCATGACCAAAATATAACGAATGTAAAGCTTTAGAGAAAATAACTGAGGAGAAAACACAGGATGAACAAACAAAATGTCTCCGTTTGGCTCTCCATCTTGGTTTTAGTGATAATAATCACCTTGAAATTAATTTCATACATTAACAAACACTTATTGTCGCTATCTCTAGCTAGGTTGTGGTTATTTTTGCCATCACTGTGTGAATGTGTGTGAAATGGTGAATGTGGCATGTAGTGTAAAAGCGCTTTGAGTGGTTGGAAGACTAGAAAGGCGCTATACAAGTACAGGTCCATTTACCATCTCTAGCTAGAGCGTAGCGTAGTACTGATTGTGCATGTAGAATCGTGTGATATTTGAATGGATTCTGGTTGACATGACTCATCCAGTTTAAATGTTGAACATGAAACAAATGTTTTTATTCCACAGTTTGAGTTACAATCAGAATGAAAGAAGAAAAATAGATCACAGATTCATTAGAGATGTTTCTGTCTGCTAACAAGCGTACAAAAATACTTTGATTTAGATTAAACTTCAAGTATCTACGTACAACAACATGGTCCATCCATCAGACCAGTTTAAACCAGTCTGACCCTGTTTAAACTGTCAGACTGGATTTTATCAAACACACCAGTAGAAAGACTCTGACACTCGGTACCTGTTTGACAGTTTTAGCGGAAGCTCCTCCCTCTTCTGACATGTCACAGGTGATGTCATACACCTGTCTAAATAAAAGAGGAAGAACACGTACTCTGTTGTCGCCTTTCAAAGTAAAACCAAACACAGTCGTCTGGTCAGAGCGACTCCATCAGGACGAAAACATTCAGACCTGCATTTCAGTTCTTTAAATTATCTTCATTCAACATTTCAGTCGCAGTAAAACTTTATCAACAATTCTTGGAGCCATTCAAAGACGCTTGTTTCAATAAAACTTTATAAAAACACGTTAACATCAGTGTCACATTTCTTCTCTGTGTGTCTACAGAGGTCTACATTTAGCCTAGCTTAGCACAAACACTGAAAATTATTAGCGTACCCTAGCTTAGCCTCGAAATTCACATTCCAACCTTTACAGATTCTTTATTTTTATTTTACCCTAACAAGCTAAAAACCTCTGGTGCCTGTTCACTTACAATTTTAAAGGACACTTAATATTACTTATTATGTTTCAACCTGGATTTCATTTTGATAACAGTTCAGTTTATTCAACCTCACACAAACCAGTCAGAATTTAACGGTATATCAGCAGTGAGATTATGAGACAGGTGGAAAAATAACAGAATTTCCCTGTTAAGTTCAGTCAATTGGACGACTTAAAGCTATAAACAGAGTTTAAATCTGTCAGGGTTAGGGTTAGCTCAGTCGGTAGAGCTGGCGACTGATATACGGAGTTGCTGCAGCCCGGGTTCGAATCCAACCCGCGGCCCTTTGCTGCGTATAATCCCCTCTCTCTCTGCATAAAGGCATGAAAAGGTAAAAAAAAAACAACTTTAGAATTTAAATCTGTTGCTAACTATCGACCCCCATCCCTCAGTCACATATTTTATTTCATACTCCAACTATAGCTGCTAGCTAGCTAGCTAGAATATAAACTGGTATACACATGGTTAGCAAACAGAAGGGCATCAGCCGGAGATTTAGTGTAGACTACTGTTAGCCACAGGCCTAACCTAACTAGCAAACAAGCTATTCAGAGAACTTTTTTTTCCCTCCTCAGTAACTTTTTTGGAGTGAAATGATGAACTTCTGTTGGCATTGTGTTAGCATTTTGGCAGTTAGCACTCCAGCTACACTAGTTCACTAACTAACCATGAGACTCGTCACTACGGCAGTCGAGACTCTAGAAACCTTCACTGTGACACTTTCTGCTATGACCAGCCCTTTAAGATTTTATATTTGTGCAAAGTTAGGCTAAGCATCCTTTGTAATGGACACAGAGATGAGGCTGGAACCCATGTTGTCCTGTTGTGTGTTGAACCAGATGAAGTGCTTCAGGGTTGACGGTACAGTACAGGCTCTATTGCACATCTTTACAGTATTTACAGTCTCAGCAGGTTTTGGCTCAACACGACTTCTTTGGAATTTCATAAACAAGAAAACCACATTACATTTAACTTCATCTCAACACAAATTAGATCAAATTAAATCTTAGCTCAGTGCTGTGAACATTGACGTTAAAGAAACATCAGGACGGACGTTCCTAACGTCCCTCTGAACTGAAAAATAAAGGTAATTCATTCAGAGACCATTTACACAAAAAATACCAGTTATTATATGGACTAGTGTAGATAATTACAGTACGTACAGCGCAGTAGGTAGTTTTAGTCAGAACAGGAGCTGATGAATTGATTCCAATAAATACATCAGCTTCATCAATGCAAAGACAACAGTTTGTTTTAGAGCCGATCTCAGGTTAATCAGTTAAACTTCAGCTGCAGCAAAAGGTTCATGTTTTCATTTGACACCGTAAGAAAAATGGACACGACCTCAGTGCAAATAGTGCATCTGTAAACATCGAACAAGTCAGATCATTCTCATACTTTCATCAGTTTGTAACTGAAGTCAATAAGTGATTGTGGAGGTTTAGAGGAAGCTTCAGCAGCGAGCTGCAGCCACAACAACTTTAAATCCGTTTCACCAAAAAACTTATTTTTATTTCTATTTCCACTGTTACCAGGAAGAGAACATATATTAAAGTCTCCATCAAGTCAGAATCAAAGTGTTTTAATCAATACGTCTCCTGTCCTCTGGTTTCGGTCCAACAGGGACAGGAAGTCCTGTTTCAGGTATTTTCAGGTGTTCTTAATGATATTTTAGAGTGTCCTGATAATCATTGAAAGTATTTGATGACTCATCCTGCACCCGGGGGCGTATTCATAGATGCCACCTACGTCACTATCAAATAGAACGCCGCCATATTGACGACCGATCTCACCCAGTATGGCCGCCCACACTGCCCATTTGAATGAGAGAGAGAGAGATCTGGAGAAAATTTCAATTTTAGGCTCCGATCCTTATTTGTTAGCCCCAGTTTTCTTTTGTCCCTTATTATCTGCCCCAGGCTTGCCCCAGTTGGCTTTCCATGATATATACGTTTATCTTGTGCATAACCCCCCCCCGTACAGTGGGGATAGCTTGAAGACTTTCAAGAGTACTGATGCTTATCAATATGCTGTGGCTGGATGGGTGAAAGACGTGAAAGTGCTGCACATAGCCGCCAAGGATTTAGATTTAATCATGGGAAATGTAAGTATTATATAAAACAAATTCAACTGTATGATTTTGGTGGTAGTTTACTCTGACTAGGTAGCGAGTTGTTGGCTAAGCAGTGTTGGGCATCTTACTTTAAAAAAGTAATTAGTTATAGTTATATACTTCAGGCAGACGTGGATAAAGTCTTTTTTCCTTGGCATAGCGTGCATGTTACATAAACATTCTTGCCTTTAACTTCAGTGAGCGAGAAGTATTGTCGGTACTTCCAGTTTGAAAACGCTACCTTTGAATTTCTCTGGCTCGTCGCCATTGTCTCTGTCTTGTGTTTATAGAAGTAGTTACCATGCAGTGAAACAGCGTGCAGTGAGACAGCGTGCAGTGAGACAGCGTGCAGTGAAACAGCGTGCAGTGAAACAGCGTGCAGTGAGACAGCGTGCAGTGAAACAGCGTGCAGTGAGACAGCGTGCAGTGAGACAGCGTGCAGTGAGACAGCGTGAGCAGGGCATCCGCCCACCCAGCCAATCATCATCACCACCCTGCCCTCTCCCGGCAGCTGATGTGTGTCTGTCAGAAAGCCTGACACCGCTGCGCTTCATTCACCACATTGTAGGAACGCAAGTAACACGCCACTTTACATTCTCAGTAACGGTAACGGCGTTGCAACGATGGGAAAAGTAATTAATTAGATTACTCCGTTAATGAAAAAATAACGCCGTTAGTAACGCTGTTATACTGAAATGCTGTTACTCCCAACACTGTAGCTAAGTGGCTGACAGCTAGCAAGCTACCACTCATCTTAGTCGTGTCACTTAGCTCACAGCTAGCTGTCATTAATCTGGATAATGTTCTTTAATGTCAGATGTGATTATATTTTATACAGTCCATGGTTTATACTCATTGAAAGAACATGAAGGGAAACGAGGCGATTGTGACTGTATGGGAACAGTTTGTGGTGGATTACTCTGATCATTGTTGATGTCAGTGCTGCTAGTGAGCACTTCAGCTTCCTGCTACAGCAGCGGTTCCCAAACTTTTTTTCCCGCACATGCTGACTCGGCTCGCGTACCCCCCCCCACCATCAGACACATAAAAACGTAACACATTCTATTGCATTCCAGGCATCATGTTTAATTAGCTGCCCTGCATGATAACAAATAACAAATCAAAATGTGCAACTGGTCTTTGAGCTCTCACACTAAAAAAAACAGTGTGGATACTGACTATGGCGCGATCGGCCCGAGTCGGTCATAAAGATAGCGGCGCAAAGCAACAGTGACATATGAGTCGAATGAATACTAATGCTGCGTCCAATCAAACGCTTTCTCTCTTCTGACGCTGCCGGAGTGTTTCTGAGGGCTGTTACAGACAATCTATGGCCTCACTGAGTACAAAGACCTACTTTATAGCTACATTAGCTCAACTTTCTAACTTTATTCAGTGATTTTGGTAAAACTGGATCAGATTTTATAGACAAAATATATTCTGGTTTTCCCTCTGATGTCCTCCGGCTGCTCAGCTTTAACTCTCTGTGATTGAGTTTTCTGAGGGTTTTCTGATGGACAGATAGCTTTAGCTAAAGTAGCTAACCGGTAATTAACTTCTTCTAACTGTATCTGCTGTTAGCGGTCGACAGAACCGGGCTCAGCAGCCTGACCGGGATCGAACACAGCCTCCAAGACTGACGGAATAATGTTACAGTACCAACGTTATTTACAGAGTTTCCTGATTGACAGATTGATCAGTAGCCAACCGCTAACTCCTGTTAGCTCGGTCAGCCGTGCAGCTAAGCTAACTGACTCAGCCAGGAGCCGAACCCGGCAAGAAAACTACCTTGATACAGGTTCCCTGATGGTCTTGGAGATTGGTTATGGCACTAGCTGCACAGCAGTGGGGGCGTGTGTGAGCTACTGGCTGCTGTAGACACCAATCAATATCTACGATAAGTTCCTCCGTACTGCCAGTTTTTACAGGAAACACAAACTGCACTCTGCTTCCTGGTTCATGGAGACTTTAACACTGTGTTAATTAATTTATCTCAGAGCTTGTTAACTGAGTCGTTTGTATATAGTTGTTTTTATTTTAAACTCATCACTGCAGCCCTCCATAGAGACCAGAACATGGATTTAAATGTGTCACAGAGTTCGTCAGTGATGATCTGATGAAGCTTCACAGTAAATCACCACCCTGAGAGTCTCTGCAGCTACCCATCATGCCTTGCTCCTGTCATCAATCCCCATTGGACTCGATGACCTTCTCAGCCAGGATCTCCTGGAAAGTGGAGAGCTGCTTCATCTGCTCCGTCTGCATCGAGTGTCTCCTCATCAGCTTCTTCTTCATCTTGAAGTCGGGGCCCCGTTTGGGCGAAGCTGGGGCCACAGGGACCAGGATCTTGTGCCCGGAGTGGATGGGGGAGGTGGGCTTGCCGTTGGCCCGGATGTCGGGAATGGGTCTCTGGGGGTTGATGTTGAGTGGAGGCAGGAAGCCAGGCCTGGTGTGGGAGATGTGGTCCAGCAGGAGGGTCCCAGAGCCCCTGCGCTCCAAGAGTCCAGGGTGACGCCTGCGCATGGTGATGGGGGACACAGAGTTGGGGATGTTCTCCAGAGACTCCCTGGAGGAGCTGGTAACCAGGGACAAGGGTGAGGCATTGTACCTCCTCCGTTCAACAGACACCCGACCAGAGTCCGGAGATCCAGGGATGGACTCTGGGCAGAGGTGGGTGTCTGACTCATAGTGCTCCATACGGGTCAGTTTGGGATGAGCCAGGGCCCGTGTTGCAACAGCCCCCGGGCCACCGGCATTCTCCTGGGACTCTGGGGCTGTGTTCCTGCGGTACAGGATCTGGTGCTGCTGCACTTTATCAGCCCAGGAGGAACCAGAGAGGGCAGCACAGTCCTCGGAGCAGGACCGGTCGATGAGTTTGGGGGAACAGGGGTCGTGGGTCTCAATGCTGTGTCGCCGTGACAACAGAGGTCTCACTGATTCTGTGATGGACAGGCCGTTGATCTCAGTGATCATCCTGCTCAGGTCGCAGCTGCCCTCCTCCTCCAGACCTCCAGCAACCCGCTCCTGAGGAACCCCACTCAGCACCGAGGGCGCCACCAGGCCCCAGGGCTCCGAGTTCAGCCTCTTCAGCAGCTTGCGTGGTGGAGGTCTCTTTTCTCCTGGAGGTCGAGCTGAAGGTAAAGGTAAAGCCGAGGTGAGTGCAAAGCTGAAGAATCCCTCCTCGTCTTTGCTCTTGTCTCCTGCTGGTGAGGAGGTGCCGATCTCAACCTCAGAAGGAGACATGCAGGCTGGAGACAGTTTGTCCACGATGCCCGGCGAGGGGGGTGAGTTGAGGTACTGCTTGGTCTTCTTGGTGCCTGACGGAGACGTGTCAGTGGTGATGATAATCACTTCCTTGCCTTTCGCCTTGCAGGCATCCAGCAGCACCTGTAGAGTGTCACGGTCTCCCCTGTTGATGGCATGGACGAGGGCGGAAGAGCCGGAGTAGTCTTTGAGGCTTGGATCGGCTCCGTTCTCCAGCAGGAGTGAGACCACCTCCTTGCCTGCCTGCTCGGCGCAGGCGTGCATCAGTGCCGTCCTCCCACTTTTGTCGGGGATGTTCGGATCGGCACCCTTCTCCAGCAGGTACCTCACCATCTTCTGCCGGGTCTGCGGGTCATCGTAACTCGCCAGGCAGGCAGCAGAGATTGGAGTCTCTCCACGCTCGTTGCCCTCGTTGATGTAAGCTCCGCCCTCCAGTAGCAGCCGGGTCAGCCTCAGCTTCCCCTGGAAGACTGCTTTGAGAAGGGCGTTCCCCTCGGTCTGTAGGGGTCCTCCATCTCCCATGATCCCTTGTCTAACCTCAGAGCCCCTGTCCACTGGAAGCTAGCTTAATGCTGACTGGCCATCTTCCACGAGAAGTCACATGAACTGCAGGAAAAACACACATGAGGTAAGTTCACCACCAGTTCACCGCCATGTTAGCAGACTGAGGATCTAAACATGGTGGTATATGATAGGCTGAGATAATGAAACAATGGGAGACTCTGGAGGTTGGTTGGCTATGTGTGCTGTTACAGTGACTGTATATACAACACTGAATTTGTTTTCAGGAGATTGTAATCTATAACTTCAGCCGTACGCGGTCGGTAGCCACGACCGAGCATCATTCTGAGCGTCGGCCAACAAACACTGAACGCTGTAAAATAACTGACAATCATATTTAGAATAACGTTACTATCTGCAATGTTCCTATATTTTATTTGGACCATTAGCTCCATGCTACTAACTAGCTTGCTGTTTACAAATCACCAACACCACGAAGCGACCGACACCAGACCCACATAGACATCAGTCCACAGGCAGCAGAGGAAGTCGCTGCGTTACAACCCGTTCACTCTCTGCTCACGCTGATTATTATAGGAACATAACAGGATTCACAGTCTGACATCTGGAAGCTTTAAGAACAGTTCTCTCACCTCGTTAGCAAATTTATACCAAAAGTAACCAATCAACCTTTGACTGTCACATGACCCTTACCTTGCAGGTCATAGTGGTCCCTGGAGAGTCCCTCAATAAAACATTTAGACCCTCAGACACGAAGATAAATCAACTGAGAGAAAACAGCCTGGTTCTCTCTTTCTCTCTCTCTCTGTCTCTCTCTCTGTCTCTCTCTCTCTCTCTCTCTGTCTGTCTCTGTCTCTCTCTCTCTGTCTCTCTCTCTCTCTCTGTCTCTCTCTCTCTCTCTCTCTCTCTCTCTCTCTCTCTCTCTCTGTCTGTCTCTGTCTCTCTCTCTCTGTCTCTCTCTCTCTCTCTGTCTGTCTCTGTCTCTCTCTCTGTCTCTCTCTCTCTCTCTCTGTCTCTCTCTCTCTGTCTGTCTCTGTCTCTCTCTCTCTCTGTCTCTCTCTCTCTCTCTCTGTCTGTCTCTGTCTCTCTCTCTCTGTCTCTCTCTCTCTGTCTCTCTGTCTCTCTCTCTCTCTCTCTCTCTCTCTCTGAGTGTAGTGGAAGAGTTGGATGAAATTGAGTGTTTTTCTCTCTTTCTATTTCTTTCTTTCGGTATATTTTCGTTGTGTTGTGTTTGTGAATGTAGTTGTGTTAGTTTAGTGTTGTTTTGGTTGGTGTTTGGTTGTTTGTTGGTTAGTTTAGTGTTTGTTTGTTGTTTGTCAGCCTCGCTCTGAGGCGCCGGTATGGCGTCCAGCAGCGTTTTCTCCAGGCTGACACGGAAGCACGGTATTAAAACCGGAGCCGGCTCTCCGTGCAGGGTGGAGGAGGTAGCACTGGCCGTGGGGGATATCATCGGGCACGGCTCTGTGAAGTCCGCTGCCCGGATGAACAGTGCGGTGGTCCTGTTCCTGGAGAAGGTGGAACAGGTGAACAGGTTGGTGGAGACGGGCATTACGGTGAATGGGATGTTTGAGCCGGTGATACCGCTGATACAGCCGGCTACAAGGGTCACTCTGTCAAATGTTCCCCCGTTCATTAGTGATGAATTCTTAATTAAAGAGCTGTCCAGACATGGAAAGGTGGTGTCACCAATAAGAAAAGTGCTGTCGGGCTGTAAGTCTCCCCTCCTGAGACATGTAGTGTCTCACCGCAGACAGCTCTTCATGTTGCTCAACAACAAAAATGAAGAATTTGATTATCGGTTCAGAGTCCGTGTGGATGATTTTGAGTACATTCTCTTTGCAACATCATCCACTGTGAAATGTTTCGGATGTGGCGAAGAGGGACATTTGATTAAGGCCTGTCCGAGCCGCGGTGCGGCGGCTGCCGCGGGCGCGGCGGCGGCGGCTGCCGCGCCCGCGCCGCCTGCTCCTGCGGGGATTCGGGCGGTACCCGCCGCTGCCGCGGCCGACCGCCGGCCCGTTCCGGCGGTGCGGCGGTCGGCCGCGGTGGCCGGTGGGGGGCCGGTGCCGCAGGGCAAGAAAAAGAAGCAGGAGCTGCAGAGAAACAGGTGGAAGAGATCCAGAGCCAGGCTGGAGGGAGCACTGAGGTGAGTAGTGAGAGGGAGGAGGTGGGAGGGAAACGGGTGAGGTGACAGGTAAGGTGGGGGTGACAGGTGGTATTTTAGATAAAGATGCAGGTGAATTGGTCGAGGATGTGGGTGAAACAGGTGTCGGTGGAGAGGCAGGTGAGGTTCCTGGTGAAGTGGGTGAGGCAGGTAAAGTAACAGGTGAACTAGAAGAGGTAGGTGAACCAGGTGAGGTGAAAGAGGCAGGTGAGGTTGTAGGTGAGTTGGGTGAGGTAGGTGAGGTTGTAGGTGAGTTGGGTGAGGTAGGTGAGGTTGTAGGTGAGTTGGGTGAGGCAGGTAAAAGAACAGGTGAGTTGTGTGAAGGATTTGAGGTCGTTGGTAAACAGTGTGAAGCAGGTAAGGCGAGAGAGGCAGGTGAGGCTGTAGGTGAGTCGTGTGAGACAGGTAAACTAGCAGGTGAGCTGAGTGAGGGGAGCACAGTAGCTGAGGCTGAAGAGATGGAGGCCTGTGAGTCTGGGTGGGGGTCTGCTCCTCTTAAACAGCGCAGTAAGAGGAGAAGCATGTTGACCGTGGAGGTGGGTGGTAAAGCCGGACGTCTGGCCGGTAAACCGAGTGCTGCAGAGAACAGAGCAGCTCTATCTGACAGCAGTGACAGTGAAGGGTGTGTGTCTGACAGCAGTGACCTGTCTCACACTCAGCAGGCTGCTGCTCAGGTGTATACTGCCAATGTACTGAAGTCTTTTTACAACAGACCAAAGGGATGAGGAAGCCAGTGTTAGAGCAGTACTTCCCTGATATGCAGGGTTTCTATAACTCAGCCAGGTATACTGTGAAACACAGAGCAGAGTCAGAGCTGACTGACCAAGAAATATTCAGACTGAAAAAACTGATTATTAAAGTCAGAAAACAACTCAGTTTTTAATGATGGTGAATGTAGGGATTTTATTCTTATTTATTTCATTGATTGTTTTTAGTCTTGTTCTTAACATCTCCATCATTATGAATGTTTTTAAAGTGGGCAGTCTGAATGTCAATGGTGCCAGAGAAATAAGAAAGAGAGCAGTAGTGTTTGAAACGGCTAAAATGAAACATATTGATGTTCTGTTTCTACAAGAAACTCACAGTGATGTTGGAAACGAGGCAGACTGGAGCAGAGAATGGGAAGGAGAACTGATTTTAAGCCATAACACCACCCTCAGTGGAGGAGTGGGCTTCCTGTTCTCCAGAGGTTTTACTCCAACCTCTCTGGAGGTCAGGCATGTTGTGGAGGGAGGTGTCTTTTAGTCAGAGCTCGTTTTGAACATTTTAATGTGGTTTTTATCAACATTTATGCTCCAAACAACGGTGCAGAGAGGAAACACTTCTTTGAAAATATGAATGATATTTTAAACAGCTGTGGCCCGGAGGATTATTTATTTGTGGGTGGGGATTTTAATTGTACTGAAAATGAGATTTTAGATCGCAACCATGCAGAGCCTCATCCAGTATCCCAGCATGCCTTGAGGCAGCTGGTCTCCTCCCATGGCCTGGTGGACGTGTGGAGAAGGATGCACACAGGCTGCAGACAGTACACATGGTCCCACGTTAGAGAAAACAGAATCTCTTTGGCCAGACTTGATCGTTTTTATGTTTTTAAGCACAGAGTCAGTGTTGTTAAAATGTGTAAGATTTTACCAGTTGGTTTTACTGATCATTCTTTGGTTTTATGTAATGTTTTTATCAGAAACATTTTACCCAAAAGTGCCTATTGGCATTTTAACTCTGTTTTAACTGTTGATAAATCTTTCAAGGAGGCTTTAAGTTATTTTTGGAATGATTTTAAACAGAAAAAAACCGAGTTTGTCAGTCTGAGGCAGTGGTGGGACCATGGAAAGGTTCAAATTAAACTTTTATGTCAGCAGCACACGCTCAATGTCACACGCGACATCACCAGATCTATCAGAGATCTGGAGACTGATATTGTGGATCTCGAGTGTACAAGTGAGTCCACAGGAAATCGAGGATATATTGAAATCCTCAAGACTAAAAAGATGGCTTTAGCCAACCTGCTGGACACTAAAGTACAGGGTGCGCTGGTCCGGTCCCGGGTTCAAAACATAACGGAGATGGATGCTCCATCGAGTTTCTTCTTTGGACTTGAGAAGAAACAAGGGCAGAGGAGACAAATCCACTCTCTGCTCTCTGAGACAGGGCAAGAGCTGACAG